GGAAAAATAAGATTTGGATAAAGAGTTGGGAAGTAGTGGCATAGGGGGACAGAAGGAAACCATGTGTTTCGATACTTCAGTAATTACAATGGAAAGATCACTTAAGATGTAAAATGACCATAAAACTTTATTTTTAAGTAGATTTGATTGAAGAGTTGCTTATTATTTTGCAATAAATTAAACAGAAAAGATGCTACATACCTGCCTGTTGAATACAAACTTAGTAAAAGTACAGCTTATGTAATTCTTATATAATTTAAAATATATCAATTTTAAGACATCTATTTATAATATATTTACATAGCACAATAGTATCATGGAGCTGCACTCACACATATTAACACTTCACAGATTAAAAAAAGCCATTAATCAGTCTTATCTGGGCGTTTTCTTGTTATGAACAAAATTGTCAGTCATCCTTATTTTTCTTCTGAACTTGATAATCTTTTCCCAACACTCAGCTTGCTGATAATCAGCAGTTCTTTGGGATCTAAGACTTGGTTCAATGTTCACAGTGTAGTTCAAACAATAAATAGTATCCATATCCTGTCTTGACTCCATGGCGTATGGGAGAAGAGGATTTTCTCCCTGTTTGGCTTTCACCCTTGTGGCAGTCTTGCCATCTGGTGTTCTCTTGGCTGCGGAGCTCTTTCCATCTCCCTTGTACCCCTCCTTCCAAGGTGGGGGTTCTCCTTGCCGACATCCAACCACCCTGAAGTACCTCTCCACAGGATATTTGACACAGAGTCTACTTGGCTCTTCACTGCCTCAAACGCTTCATTTTGAAGTGTTGGTTTGCAGCTGGTTCAAAAGGTTCAAGTAGGCTTTGGATTTCAAAAACCTGGGATATGAATCCCTTTCCATGAGGATGTACACTGTTTTCTGGGCTTCATCAAAACTTGTGTAAGTTGGGTCTTGAGCCCTTTTGGCTGTTGCTTCCCTCATCTGATAGTCAATATTAATCTGGAAAGTGAAAAACAAATGCCATTGACATCTTAAAAATGCACTCTCTTTCTGTATCTATCCCTTTGTTTTCTCAATAAACAAATCTGCAGCCTTAAAACTCGGTGTGATAGTTCAATATCAGAACTGCAAAATAAGGGAATTTTAATGCTTATATCCTAGTCATGCACAAAAATTGCTACTCGCTATAGAAATACAGTTTCTTATGGAGTCAGAAGTAAACTTAACAATGGAGTACGTAGAGGAACGATCTCCAGTTAAAACAATAGGAGAAATCTTGTGTCCAATGAGAGCCTCCAGTTTGAAATATGATCAACATACACAACTTTAATTATCCAGAATGTCCACATATTTTAAAAGACAAGAAGTAATCCATGGCTCTCCTGCTTGCAGGGTGCCCTCTAAGTATCTGACTCCAAACACCAGCAGTAATTCAAACTGGGCTGACTCAGAGAACAGCATCATGTGCTGAGCCCCTGGTGCCTCTGCTGAACTTGTGCTAGGGGTGCTCCCAAGTACTGGTCTGTATTGTGTGACTCTTGTGAGATCTGATAATCTCACGGCAGAAGACAATAATGATGCAAGTACGCTCATAAAAACATGTGTCTGTTTTCTTCTTCCTGTACAACTGAATGAATGTATGAGCATCTCAGTGAAGCTACGCTTCTATCTTTTGATTTTCCAGAATCCTTGTATGGTCACACTTGACAGATTAACTTTGTACATACCTGCTTACTAGCATCTGACTGAACAAACTCCTCATAAATCCTCTCCGCTTTGCCATGTAAGTGATCAGACTTGGTTTTCTTGTAATCCTCACAAGCCAGCCAGAACTCGATGTTTTCCTCGCTGAACTCTGACTTCAGAAACTCCCGAAAGACACCTTGACCACCTAAAGCCAACACAAATACGTCATCCTTTATAGCATGATATTTGTGACCAGGGAGGATAAAATCAATAGCAGGAGTTGTATTGAAATCTCCTTTTATAAAATCTTGCCAAAATACACTGTTCATCATACTGTAGATACTCTAATATTAAAGGGTGAGGGGAGTCCTTCTAATTATGTTCAGTGGTTTTTAGACTCTGGGTACCAAAGTACACCAATAGATTCTAGTCCTCTCTAAATGGATTGTCTTGGGGTACAAGTGGAGCAAAAATTCCAAATTAAACTGATGAGTTATGCAAGGAGAGAAGTCTGATCAAAGAGCACTGAACTTTGCTGTTCGGGGGTTATTTGCTATGCTGGGAGTACAAAATGGAAGGGGAAAAAAACAAACTTGGATGCAAAGCTATATACAGTAGTCATGTTACACTGAAGCTGTAAATAACTAAAATGCAACTGGCTGTTCTCTGGCAGTGTTTGTAGAATGCCACAGCTTTGCCTGTGTGGCACGATTAGATAAAATTTTGTCCTTGGAATAAGAACAAAGTCATACTGAAGAAAGAGACTTACTCTGACTGGCCAAGAGCTTTTCCAAAGACTGGGACCACTGTATTACTTCCTCTGCAGAAAGCCTAAGATTACAAGAAGAAGAAAATACTTTAGGCAAGAAAACATGTGGTTTAATTTGCACATTTAAAGGCAACACATTTTATAATTTATTATTCTATTCTAGGCATATGTACCAGGTATTTATTAAACTTAGGACTTTCTCATCATCTGAGATGCTGAAAGCAAGTCCATGTTGAGAACAGTAATCAGAGAGATGGAAAAACAAGGAACTATATTGTTATCCTGGATTCTGTTCCCAGACAGATGAGCTTTTACTGTAACTCTGACCAAATACTTTTGTACTACTTTTGTTTCTATATTCCTAAAATAAGAATGGTAATACCCCTACTCTTCACTTAAGTGAGAAGCATAATTTCTTGTAAATCTTTAGAGAACAGATACAATGTCCCTTTGAAGAAAATGGATTTAACGAAAGTGTCTTCTCCCTCACTGTTTGATGCAAGCATACAGGCATCACTAAGAAAAAACTCTTGACTCCATGAATAGCTTCTACTTCCTAATGTTCACCTCTTTTGTATTTTGGAAATTCTAGGCATTATTATAATATTTGTTGTTCCAGAAGTGGTTTAGAAATTAATAAAATAGTTTACTAGATAAGTAATCTAGCTGCACTTATATTTTGTTATAACTTTGTGTATCTATCTCAGTACTTACATGGCATTTCTGGAGTTAGAAGTCTTGATCCCTGATTCAATATGCGGTACCATGCACTTCAAATAATTTTTGAGATCTGCACCACTGCAACCAAATGAACAGACATTTTTGTAATGCATTAAAACTGCAGATGCATTCCAATTCTACTTAAACCTCTTAAAACTTTCAAACAGAGGCTGACAGCTCCATCCTATGACTGAAGTCTGAGAAGTTACATATCCAAGTAACTTTTTTCAAAAAAAACTAAGAGGCTCCCAGTGTATCCAAAATCTATTCCTGATTACTTAAGGGAATGAATTCACTGGTATGCCTCAGCTCAAGTAGTTTTTAATGATGCTATACTCCCAGGCTTTGAGCAGGTTCTGCAGTAATTTAGCCTGAAACATGGTGCTAATTCTTAATCGTCAAGATACTAGTGTTATTTTTACTTCTAATACATTAGAGTTTATACTAAGTTGCATATACTTACAAAGGCTTTTGCTTCTTTTTACGGTTTTTGCCTTCTGAATGCTTGCAGTCTTCTTTTCCATTTAATTCACTCATGTTGTTATGGTGGAAGAAAAATCCTGGCATTTTACTTAATGCGAAGCAACATGCAACAATAATCCTCCAAGGACCGAATGTCAGCTCACTGACTCTGATACCGCCTTTTATTGACGCAGGCAGCCCTTCTAGTTGGTGTGAACGGATCTGTTTATCATGTATCCTCACCACAAACTGTGGAAGTTCCCTTTTTTCAGTGCACGGTGACGTGAGTCTTTTGAGAAAGAAAACAGACAGCGGTGTCTCGTGGTTGAGGTTAAACCGGATGAGACTGAATTACTTTGGGTTGATTTTGTGTGTCTGTGTATGTCTGTGTTACCCAAAAAAAAAAAATCCCCTCTAGGACTTTGAATTCTTGTCCCTTTCTGATTGGTACTTTCAAATCAGAAGTACTTCTTGGCTTTATCAAATGGGCTGCAAATACTGCAGTTTTATCTTGACAAAATTCACCTGCTACATGCTTGTGTTCTGAAATGTCATACTTTACAATTGATTTGATGGGCTCAGTGGAATATTAGAAGAAAGTACTTTAAGATATGCCAAGTACTAAGGTTCCATATTCAACAAGCTATTTGCAAGTCACCAGTTGCTCTCCAAACTGTAATACTATGTTAGAGGAATCTGATTTGTTTAGACACATGTGTTGTGGAAGTGTTCAAAAGTGATTTTCATGGGAAAAAGTGTGAAGCTTATTTAATTTGATTTAATTTTTCCAAGTCAGATTATTTGGAAGCACATGGCCATATTTTGGGAATGCCTCCATAATTTTAAGTGATTCAGCATGTATAAAGATTGATTTAAGTTAGAGCTGTTGTTTGTAAAGACAATGTGAATGTTACAACGTGTTTGAGGGAGGTTTGCATTCTTTGTATATGCTTGAGTTCTACTGCAAGAGGAAACCATGGATACAAAGCAAGATGAAGAATTAATTGTTACCTTCTATTTGTCTGTCTGGATTGATGATTTGGAGGTTTAAGTACTTAATTTTGTCCCCGGGCATCCCAATTTCTGCATGTTTGTTAGGTTCTCTTTCTGGGAACTTTCAAAGATTTTTGTTTATAACACACACAACTTTGATTACTTATAAGTAGCTCATGAATTACTTGTACAGGGCTGCATATGGTTATGGTAACTGAGAATTTGCTCACATATCTACAGTTCCATAGTGGACTGTGATACAAAGGACTCGGGGAGACTGAAAGCTGCCTGCAGACAGATGTGGAAGCAAGGACAGACAGTCTGCAACAGGGTGGTTTTAACCACAGGAGACTACTAATCCTCTGAATATTAGCAGTGACATAAACGCATCTGCATAGGCTGTACTGCAGGAAACGCTTATCTCCACACTATCAGGTAAACACTGACCTTTGTAAGGTAGAGGTATTTACTAACTGCTTTTAAGCCCCCTGACCAAGGCTAAAAAGGAAGGAAGAGATGTTATCGGTACCATATTTGTTTTCATACCTAGCACGCTGTTTTTTGACGTTCAGCCCCCTCAGTGTCTCATTGTATTTCTTCAGTTAGTAGCTGTCCTCAGTGAATTACTGGGAGGGTTACAGAGGTGCCATGTCCAAACTCTTCTCAGAAGGGTGCAATAAAAAGGTAAAAGGCAACAGACATAAGTCACATCAAGGGAAAATCCCTATTCCCTACCACATCTCTCTGTACCTTGTAGCCTTGGGCTAAAAGTGGGGCAATGCCTTGTACTCATAATTACAGGCAGGTATAAGTAAGTCACAAGTTAGGTTCTGTGAGTCAAAGAGGGACTAGATAGAGTTGCTCCCCTGAAGAACAGTAAGGCTGGTGTGTGTGTGTGTGCATATTATCAATGCAGAACTGTTGTCAGTTCGTTTACCAGACAAGGAATGTCTGTTCTCCATTTCAATTGAAGTTGCTATCTTACCTTTGGGATTTGTTAAACATATCAATGCACATTACATGTGTTGCTTCAGACCTTCCTCTAGAAAGGGGTTATCATATGCTACTGCATGGACTTTGTACTTCACCTTCTTGCAATAAATGTTCTCCTGAGTAAATAAGGAATGGTATTCTTGTTTACATCCAGGTAATGCTGCTGTCACATGGTATTTGAATTGTTTCCCAGGTACTTTGTTTGGGTAGAAGAGATCAGTTATTGCTAGTATTAGGCAACAGTGTAGTTTGTAGGGTGACACAGATTTGCTTCTGTGAGTTTTGGTCTTGCTATCTTAAAGGATTTTGAAACGAGGCCTCTGCAGAGGCCACAAGCTTGTTTTCTGGCATATTGCATGAATTACCTTGGCTTATATCCAACAAACTTCTGTGAGTCTGAAGTCTTTTCTAGTCTCATCTCTGTACAGCCTATTCTACTTCTGGCGTTCTTGTTGGGAGATCAATAGGAGATTATGTTACTTTTATTGATAATGTTGCACTGAATACATTCAAGGATATTTTGGTGGTAAGAGACACCAAGAGAAATAAATGGAGGAGATTCTTTTTTTGGCTGCATTTGCTACAGGTTGGAGGAAGTTTGGAATAGGTGGGAGGTAAAGTACAGTCAAGAAAAATGCCTATTTGTGGAAAGATTATATGTAGCTATTTGGAAGATATTATACCACTGGGCTCTGGAGTAGGTAGTAGCCTTTGCTTTTAGGATCCTGGTGCAATTAGACTTTAAGGCAGTCAAAAGGGAAGGAGGAATAGGTGGACTACTGTGCTGTAAAGGAGGAAAAAATTGTGTTTCCCAAGCAGACCACCTGGGGTTAGCTGGTGTTCTTAAATTTTGCTGTTCTCATATTCTGAATTTATAATGCTTTTCATATGCTAATCTTAAGTCCTGGCCATCTAAGCTGTCATCTGAGAATCCTGTCCAATCTTCTAAATCAGTAAGCCCCAGTCTCTGGGCTGCTACTGCTGCTCTTTATCCCTATGCAAAGAAAATCAGTGCTGCCTCTCCAGTTCACTCTAAGCCAGGTTTATTTGTCAACTTGTGTAAAGATTCATGTAAGATTGGGAGTTATGAGTATCTGATTTTGGAGAAGGGATGAACAATGTGTTTCTAAGGAGAAGTGTGGCACCTAAACTTCTAGCTTAGGGTCATTGGAGGTGTAAAGACAATGTAAAGCAACAATATCCTCACACTTTCCTGTTAGCTTTGCTCAAACTCTGCAAAACCAAAGCCTACTGCATTCAGTAGCAGATATCTCAACATGGGAGTTTGATAAATTTTTTCCACTGTGGACAACTACTTCTTCTGAGTAACTCTAATCTTCAAGGCATCCTTTTCTCTCTTGATGGAATATTTCACAGACTCTGATTCACTCTTTCTATGGAGGCATACTCATCTTTAACATTTTTTGTTGAGCCCAATGCAAGTTACCTGATCTCAAGAATGGGAAAAGTGTCTACAAGACTTAGGTGTGTGTACAATTAAAGTGAGAGGAAAAAGAGAAACTATAAGATTAATAGGGCTGAGAAGAATTTTTCTGTTACTTGAATTACATTCTGCTTCTCTAGACCACAGGAAAACAGGAAAACACCTGCATGGAATTGCCTAAATTAAAAATATTTTGCTAACTATGAATATGGCTACTGTAGAGGATCCTGCTTTGAGCAGGAGTTGGACTAGATCCCACAGTTGGACTATATGCTGTTCCCCTCCGGCTTGCATGATTCTATTATTCTGAATAGCCTGACTTGACATTTGTAGTGTCAAAATTGCTATTTATTCTTACATAACCTGAAAAATGTTGTACTTCAAAATCTTATGCATTCATTCATATTCAGATTTACTATCGTTGTTTTCTGTAGACAGAAGTGTAGTCCATTCTCTGATGGGATTTAAAATGATACTGTGAGAAATAGGTATGTCCTGACCCAGTGGAAAGCTTTTCATGTAACTGTCCTCCTGACTTGCTGGGGTTTTTTCAGTTTCACCATGAGATCGTTGGTAACAGACCTGTCTCTTTCATCTCCCACCATCTTAATCTACCTACATAATACTTTGCTCTATTTCATATAGAGCATGATGGCTAATTGCTGCTTGAAGTACTTTCTTGTTTAATAATTAGTCTCCTTTTCTTCTATTATCATTGCAAGAAATTGCAAAAAGTATACTTTGAGCCTTACAGTTTTAGGGCTTATTAGAATAACCCCATCATTTGATACAGAACCCTCTTAGTCTTAAAGTTGGCATTGCCTCACCTGACTCTGTCCAATAAAAGGATAGGAGCGTGTTTTGCAGCAACAGTAGCCCAGCTGGCTATCACCAGCTGTTTTTTTTTTTTACCATTTTCCTGATCTCTTGTAGGTTTGTGATGAGTAATTCATCTAACTTCTTAATGTGCCCAGAAGCCACTTAATGTGCACAGAAGGAACTTGCAAATATTTGCTAGTATTCAACCTGTTCCCATGCATAGTTTTCCATTCTTTCCAGCGATCACTAGGTAGAGTGCAAGAGAGAGGAGAAAAAAAGTGAGAAAATTTCCAAGATTACAACATTGGACAAGTTTAGTTAAAACAAAGAGGATAAAAAGTCCCACGAACCCTAAGTCCTACTTGTTGGTGTAAACTATTTCCATCTTCTCCTTCCAACTTCTGCTTTTAGGTTTCTTTTTTGTCACTCTTGACTGGCCTTACCCTCGTTCTTTCTCCACTTCAGCTCATTTTTGTTTCTAAATGTTATATTTTGGCTTAGGCAAGCTGTTAGGTTCCAAGCATGGCCAACTTTTAGCTTTACTGTAGTCTTGCTGTTCATCATACGGCTCTTTCTAGAGTTAGCTGGCCGAATCTGTGCTGGCCTGGAGGGCTGAGCTTGAGTGCCCAGTCAAGCAATGTTGCTCCGTTGCAGAACATCCACTTGCCAGTCACATAGCTGAGCTATATTAACTATGAAAACAAGTGATTTCTTTGAAATGCTTCTGTCTTTTACATGACTTAAAGAGATAAACTAATCATAATCCATCTCTCAAGCAAAAGAGGGCACTTAAAGGAAATAGAAACTAGTTTCTATGTGAGAGGAAACGGTGTCAATTTTACAAAAAAAGGGGTGGGGGAGCGCTTTTGAGCAGCAGGGATAGTATTTTGG